CGTACATTTTTTAAAATTGCGGTCCATTACGTTGCTTGTTTTTTTTGCAGCTTAGGCCCGTTATACTGAAAATTTACCATATTATCGTTTTAACCTTAGGAAAATCAACATTTCGTAAGCAAGATTGATTTGAGGTCAAAGAACCGATTGCAATTTTTTTTTCTAATCTTGGACATGCATACATACATAGATGTACAGAGTTTTCATGCTGATTCTTTTGTTTGGTGGCTAAAATAAAGTGGTTAATTTGAGGGGTTCAAAATGAGAGTCAGTTTTTTTGACATAGGTACTTAATACAAATTGCGTAAAGTTTTGTTATTTAAAATCTTTTGTTATATTATGACAGATTCGTTTCCATATTTTACGTAGCTCTTGTTTTTATTTGATTAATTTGTTCACGCTTGGACGTGATTTGTCTCTTTTAGGTTTGATGCTAGTCGTGGTGTTGATTTAGATGCTAGTTGCGGTAACCAACTTTTCAATTGTGTTTGGTGTATAGAAATATAGGTGAGTGATCGGAAGAAAAGACAAAAAGTTGATTTATCCGTGGTTGTTAACGTTTGATATTTTTACTGAAACAGAAGTCGAATAGATCTGAAGTTTTTTTATGTGGGTTGTCTACAGAGTTTATGTGATTTTTATTATTTGCGGCATATTGTTTGCTTCCCCATCCGTCAACATCAGCCATTAAAATACTATAGCGGCTACAATTTTTTTGGCTTGAGATAATTTCTTTCAAACTTATTGAATATGTTTTTTTCGGTCTTCTATTTTTGTGCGCTTAGGGGAAAATACGAGGGCCGTATGATAAAAAGTCGGCCTATCTAAGAGAATTTGAATTTAACGCATTTTTTGGAATTTTTCTTTTTTTTTTAATTACATAATCTATTTTTAATTCTATATACATTGTCCTGTATTTCTCCAAATTTTTGTATTTTTGTATCACTTCCAAAAAATAGGATTTGACGATGTCGTCAAAACAGGATTTTTTTTTGAGATGACTTCATCGTTGGACTCAAATGTTTTTCCGCCGAGCCATCTCTTGATGTTTCAAAGCAAAAAAAAAAAACAATTTTTAACTATTGAAATCGATGGAGATGAGATCCCATAATATTTATAAAGCTTTTTTTTGGTTTCAGTGGTGGGTTTTTTCCTCAAAAAATAATGCTTGTACAGCACACGAAATTCACTTTTTATACCCGTACTCAAAAAGAGTTAAGGGGTATATTGTATTTGTGGTAAAAGTGGATGTGTGCAATGCAGAGGAGGAATCGTTTTCGACCCCATAAAGTATATATTCTTGATCAGCAAGTCTGTCCGTCCGTCTGTCTGTCCGTCTCGATGAGCGCCTGGATCTCAGAGACTACAAGAGCTCGAGCAACAAAATTTTGTTTCCAGATTCATGTGATATCACACTGTTACAAGTGTATTTTTTAAATACGCCCCACACAAAGGACGAAAATCTGTGGCATCCACAATTTAAAAGATTACGATACAACGAAAAACGTAGTATCGTTGAGAATGACCATATCCATAAATGGTCGAATCTGGATAAAATCGGATTATTATTACTCGAAGAGTTAAGGGGTATATTGTATTTGTGGTAAAAGTGGATGTGTGCAACGCAGAGAAGGAATCGTTTCTGACCACATAAAGTACATATATTCTTGATCAGCTTCAATAGCCGAGTCGATATAGCTATGTCCATCTTTCCGTACGTCTGTCCGTCTCGATGAGCGCCCAGATCTTAGAGACTATAAGAACTAGAGAAACCAAATTTTGTTTTCAGATTCATGTGAAATCACACTGTTACAAGTGTATTTTCCAATATTGCCACGCTCCTTTCCGCCACCACAAAGGACGAAGATCTTTGGCAGCCACACCTTTGAATATACTATAAAACTAAAAACGCAGTATCGTAGAGAATAACCATATCTACCAGATTGCCGAATCTGAATTAGATGGGATCATAGCCAGGGTAAGGAAATTAATTTTCAGTTGCTTCCCTCACCTCCTTCAGCGATGCTGACGCTACTTATCCTTTTTCTCGTTCGCACACGCTCTGCCCTGTGCAATGCGCGCCATTTACAGAGAAGATGTAGAATATACATTGTGAATGTGGAATCTACATTTCAGATATCGAATAGACAATGTAGATGTAGATCACAGATGTAGCAAAAAAATGTAAAATATAAAATATTTAAAAATTTTACATGAATCATAAGCTCACCAATTTATATACGGACTGTGTACGGGTATATAAGTAGAGTCGCGTCCACAGAGGCGACTCACACGTTCCTTATCGTTTTCAGCTCTTAACCCCTCCCTCTCCAGCGCTGCAGCCACTAATATATTATCTACATTGTAGATTTAGATGTAGCAAAAAATGTAAGCTGACAAAATATTTAAAAATTCTACATAAATCATAACTTCTGAACTAGTATAAAAGTAGAGTCGCGGCCACAGAAGCAGCTCACAACGTTCCTTCTCGTTTTTGTTATTATTTAAGAGAGAAGTAAGTTAGTTTAGCCAGTTTAGGACTCTGATTAAATCCGTTGGCGAATGATAAATAAATAAATTAAACACACAAAATTTGGTTCCTCTAGCTCTTATAGTCTCTGAGGACTATGCGCTTAAAAAGACGGACGGACATGGCTATATGGACTTGGCACAGCACATGCTGATCAAGAATATATATACTTTATGGGGTCGTTTCCTTCTGTGAGTTACACACATCCACTTCGACCACAAAACTAATTTATCCCTAAACCCTTCGAGTACCGGGAATAAAAAATTAAGGGAAACATATTATAGGGAACTTACAAGGAACAGTGCATGAAAATGCTCTTGTTGTTGCTTTTCCGCAGCAATGGGTTGTTTATCTAGGAGAGCGCTGTCTTTTCTTTCGCGCATCACCTCTTACAGCGTGGCAACTCAAGCCGCAAGTCCCACAATAAAGGCAATCCTGGTCCTTTCTTATCGATATTGGTACATAGTCAAAATATTCGTTATAATTTTACACTTTTTGACTTTTCTGCCAGCAGAATATTTGGCAATCTAAGTACCAGCCTCATACCAAAAATTAAAAAAACATATCTTAACTGATTATTTAATTGCAAACGAATCTTAGGTTCCCTTCTGAAAATCTCTATTTTAGAGCCTTTTAAAGCCACATGGACAAAATACTATTGCACATTTAAAAAGCAGAAGCGAGAGTTTACCATGTTACAGTTCAATCAGATGAATCACAACTTTACAAAACCTGAAGCACGAGAGGATGAGAAGCTTACATTGTTCTCTTGCCAGCGACGAGCCTCCGAATTCGAGAAGCGGTTTTGCTTTGATTTGACTTTTAAGGAGAAACCAGGCATCGTTTACACATTTCAAGCTTTGAGCGAGAAAGACTACCGCTCCTGGCTTAGTGCAATGGATGGGACAGAGCCGGTAAGCTTAAACTTATAAAAAACCATATAACTAATAAAACCATATGTATTTATCTTGTAAAGACATTTTTGGCACCCGGTAAGATAAAAGGGAACGAAGCATATCAACTAGACGAAACCGGCTTCATATTTGTTCGCCGATGCATTAAAGTTCTAGAAAGTCGTGGCCTCGAAGACGAAGGTATTTATCGTAAGAGTGGCGTGGGTACCAAAATTACCAAGCTACTAGCACTGGGTATGAACCGCAAAGATACAGAAGATGTTTTTATCGAAGAAAAATATCGGGAGTTAATGGAAAGCAATACAATTGCTAGCGCTCTAAAAATGTATCTTCGGAATCTGAGTGAGCCGCTGATGACTTATCACTATCATACTCATTTCATTGAAGCCGCCAGTAAGCACTGAATTGTCCAAACATCTTTGTGTATGGTAATATCTTTTTCGGTCTTTAGAACAAGAAGGCCTCCATCAGCGCATAAATGAAGTCCATAAACTAGTCTACAAGTTACCACAGCCTAATTTTCAGATGCTTGACATGGTTATTAAGCATTTGACCGAGTAAGTATCTACTAAATAAAATATCTAATTAAACTAATTTATTCATATCTATCAGTTGTAAATTTATATCTATCAGGGTTCACCGGTTTTCACTTTTGCTTTTGTTTTGCTTGTTTAACCGTTTTTATTGTTTTTTTATTTTATTTTTATTAAAAATGACACAAGCAATTTTCGTTTAGGTGAAAAAAATGTTTCCGCAAAAATGGGAGCACCAACATTTGTGTTTTCCAAACTATTTTTAAAGGGAACGAAACGATTTTTTTTAATAAGCCCAATGGTAACACTACCCGAAACGATTTTCCTCAAGGAACCAAACCCAATTTTTCTGATAGATTTGGAGCTTTGAAATTGTTTAAGATATTTTTTTTCCTACGGCAGAATTAAAACAAAATTGGTATTCTTTTTTATACTTTTTTCAGAAGTATAAGTTTTTCACATAACTTAAGTATCTTACATCTTGTTTTAATGAACTTTGGCATTCTGAAAATGCAGCTTTAAAGAAGACTTGAACAATTTGTAGCTTCAGCAGCCTATCGTCTCGGAAATATTAAGCTTTGGAATGAAAAGTTAATGATTTTTTTGGGGTATCAAAAAAATCTTAAATTTGGTCCAAAAGTGTGTGTTTGAACGCCTATTTAATTTCATTTCTCCGCAACGCGTGCACCAAATTGCATTTAAATGATAGCCAGAGTATGCGGCATTCTTTCTTCACAAAAGTTTTCACTTTTCTATAAATAGGTTCCACAAAAATTAAAAATTAATCAAAAAAAAATCTCAAATTTGGTCTAAAAATGTGTGTTTGAACGCCAACTTCATTTCATTTTGTGTCATTCTGTAGAACAAATTTGGTCTAAAAATGTGTGTTTGAACGCCTACTTCATTTCATTTTTTGTCATTCTGTAGAAGAAATTTGGTCTAAAAATGTGTGTTTGAACGCCTATTTCATTTCATTTTGTGTCATTCTGTAGAACAGAACATTTGATGATAGATTTTGTTTTTTATAACTTTTTGTGTGAAAATTTGTTTTCTGAAAATATTGCAATTTGTGAAAGTATATTTGTTGCTTTTGAAAATGTGTGCGTTTTAAACCAACCTGTGTGGTCGAGACGATTAAATTTGGGTCGGTGAACGCGAAATTCGTTTCAAGTTGTGGCTTCAAGGAGCCGTGAAAGTAGCCAAGACATTACACATCGCAATGAAAATATTCGTCTACGCACAGCAAGTTGCCGTTAAAATCAACGGAACAATGATGCAACAACAACTGCAAATGAACGTCGTGATATTCAAAATCTACAAGGTGTTGCCTTCGCTTACAGTAGTGTCACCGATTACGCTTCTCATAGGCAAATTATAATTGGTCCAATGAACGATCGTTGTCGCCATTGTCAGGCATTCAAATTTAAAGGTGAAGCAGATGGGATGTGCTGTGCGAGTGGTAAAGTGAAATTGCCTGAATTAGGCAGCCCACCACAACCATTGAGCACATTACTTAATGGATTGACACCTGAGTCTAATCATTTTTTGAACAATATACGAAAGTATAATTCGAGTTTTCAAATGACATCTTTTGGCGCCACAAATATTATAAGAGACAACTTCATGCCAACGTTCAAGGTAATTAAATAGTTTTGTTTATGCAAATTGTACGTTTGTTCTCATTCTATCATATATTTTATTCAGATTCAAGGTCAAATATACCATCGAGCTGGCTCTTTGTTACCTTTCGACAACGCAGAGCGGACCACCAATTTTTGCAATTATATTTTATCGGGAACGCGGAAGACGAAGCTGATCGTCGGTGTGCCATTATTACCAACACGCGGAGACAAATTATTTTCGATTTGCAAAATATGTTCCATGAGCACAACGAATTGGTTCAGGTTTTCAAAACATCGCTTGATCGTATGCCATCTGACGATCATAAAATTGTTATTCGAGCTGATAAAACACCGGTTGGCGAACATGCAAGGCGTTTCAATGCACAAACAGTTGACGAAGTGGCAATAGTCATAGTTGGTGAGCAATTTAATAATCGTGATATTGTGCTTCATCGTAGAAATGAACAACTTGAACGTGTATCCGAGACTCATCGCTGTTATGATGCACTAAAATATCCCATATTGTTTTGGAGCGGACAGGACAACATTAAAATGATAAATCCAGTAAACGGTCGAGAATGAACAAAGAAAGTTATAGCACTAATTATTACGCATACAGGCTGCAGATACGGCAAAATCAAGACAACCACATATTGAGGTGTAGAGCACTTTTCCACCAGTATATTGTTGACATGTATACACAAATTGAATCGGAACGGTTAAATTTTCTTCGATTCAACCAAGCCAAATTACGTTCCGAAGAGTATGTTCATTTGCGTGATGCCATTAACAACGATGGTAATGCACAAAACGTTGGAACTATGATAATATTACCGTCATCGTATGTTGGAAGCCCACGTCATATGTTTGAGTACGCGCAAGATGCGATGTCATACGTTCGCCGTTACGGTCGACCAGACCTCTTCATCACCTTCACGTGTAATCCGCAATGGGAAGAAATCTCGGAACTATTGTTTGTTGGCCAAACATCGAAAGATCGCCATGATATTTTAGCACGTGTTTTTAGACAAAAATTGAAATCACTCATGGATTTAATTGTCAAACACGGTGCATTTGGGTCTGTTCAATGTTGGATGTATTCAATTGAATGGCAGAAACGAGGTTTGCCTCATGGGCATATTTTAATTTGACGATGTGATTTCGGCAGAAATTCCAGATCCGACAGTGGATCCTGAATTGTTTGAAGTGATCACCAAATATATGATTCACGGTCCATGTGGTGCGTTGAATTTGAATTCACCCTGTATGGTTGAAGGGAAACGCTCCAAACGTTTTCCAAAAATTTGGTCTCCGATACAGTGACGGGCAACGATGGATATCCCGAATATCGGCGTCGATCAACTGAAGATAATGGCCATTCGGTAACTTTGAGAGTTAAAAATCAAGATTTGGAGATTGATAATCGTTAGGTTGTGCCATATTCACCGTTATTATCTAAGATTTATAAAGCGCACATAAACGTAGAGGTCTGCAATTCAGTTCAATCTATTAAATACATTTGCAAATACATCAACAAGGGCAGTGATATGGCTGTTTTTGGAGCAGTTGCTAATGTTACCGATGAAATCACTCAATTTTAAATGGGCAGATACATCAGTTCAATTGAAGCAGTATGGCGCATATTATCATTCCCGATCCATGATAGGCATCCAACTGTAGTTCATTTAGCTGTTTATCTTGAAACCCGTCAACGCGTTTTTTTCACCCCCGGAAATGCAATGCGAAGAGCTGTTCAACCACCAGCAACAACTCTAACTGCATTTTTTTCGTTGTGTCAAGCAGATGATTTTGCGAAAACATTGCTATACGCCGAAGTACCCGAATATTATACGTGGAATAATTCGTCAAACTTTTTCAAAGGCGAAGACGCGGAAAAGCCGTTCATGGTCAGCCAGTATTGTTTCACTAAGATGCGATAGGACGAATTTATACAGTTCATCCTAACAATCAAAAGTGTTATTATTTGCGATTGTTGCTAATAAATGTTCGTAGACCAACATCATTTGAATCTTTGCGAACTGTTGATGAAGAATTGTGTGGGACATATCGCGAAGCATGCGAACGATTAAATATGCTTTAGAATGACATGCATTGGGATCTTACACTTGAAGATGCAGCAGCGGACACTTTTCGCAATTATTATAGCCACGTGCAGTCCAGCAAAGCTAATTGAATTGTGGCAAAAACATCAAAATCATTTGTCAGAGGATTTTTTACATCGATTGCGCCGTCAAACGGGTGATATAAACATGGACTATACGCCGGAAATTTACAACGAAGCATTGATTGCTATTGAAGACCTTTGATTGATGATGGCAAGCAAAGCATTAGCTCAATTAGGTATGACAGCGCCTAATCGTGATATACACGACCTTTTCAACAAAGAACTGGAGCGTGAACAGCAGTATGATCGTGCCGAGCTTAATGCGTTTGTGCAAAACAATGAGCCACGGTTAAATATCAACCAAAGAACGGTTTACGACCAAATATAGCGAGCTATCGAAGAACAACATGGTGGACTGTTCTTTTTGGATGCAGCTGGAGGTACCGGAAAAAGTTTGTCATTTCGATTATTTTGGCTACCAAGGTAGAATCACATTGGCTTTGGCTTCGTCTGGCATCGCTGCCACATTATTGGATGGTGGTCGCACGGCGCACTTTGTCCTTAAGTTCCCTTGAATATGAAGGCTGACGATAATCCTACATGCAATATTTCAAAAAGATCTGCGATGGCGAGAGTGCTGCAGCAATGCTCTCTTATTGTATGGGATGAGTGTACTATGGCCAACAAGAAGTCACTGGAAGCACTTAATCGTACGTTGAAAGATATTCGGGGAGATAATCGATTGTTTGGTGGTGCATTGATATTGTTAGCAGGTGATTTCAGACAAACATTGCCTGTAGTCAAACTAGGAACTTTTGCTGATGAAATGAATGCGTGTTTGAAAACATCTAATTTGTGTCGCTCTGTGAAAACACTTAGATTGACTACAAATGTACGTGTTCAATTGCAAAACGATGCTTCAGCAGATTTGTTTTCCAGACAACTGTTAGACATTGGTAATAGCATACTTCCCGTTGACAATTCTGGCTTCATAAAGCTTCCAAATAATTTTTGCACTTTTGTGTCATCAAAGGAATACTTGATTCAGACCGTGTTTCCAAATTAGTATACAAAATTATAGAAACCATGACTGAGGGAGGGAATGAGCAATTTTGGCCGGAAAAAATAAAGATGTCAATGAGATCAACGCATCTATTTTGAATTTCATCCCAGGAGAAATGGTTGCTCAACCGACCTTGATACAATTATCAATCAAGATGATGTTGTAAATTATCCAGTCGAATTTCTAAATTCATTGGACTTACCTGGAGTGCCGCCATACTATTTACAAGTAAAAGTTGGAGCCACCAAAATTGTGCTGCGGAATCTTAATCCACCACGACTTTGCAATGGTTCAAGACTTGCTGTGAAAAAAGTTATGACTAATTTACTTGAAGCAACTATTTTGACTGGGAAATTTTGTGGTGAACACGTTTTAATTCCGAGAATTCCGATGATTCCGACTGACATGCCATATGATTTCAAACGACTACAATTTCCGATTCGTCTTGCTTTTGCTATGACTATTTATAAATCACAAGGACAGTCGTTGCAAATTTTTGGTTAAAATTTGGAGCATCCGGTATTTTCACACGGTCAACTGTATGTATCGTGCTCACGAGTAGGCAAACCTTCTTCATTAATTATTCATTGTACCGACGGCAAAACAAAGAATATTGTTTATCACAAAGCATTGCAATAAATAAAATATGTCATTACATAAAAATTATCATTTTTTAATTTCGATGAATTCCTAAACATTAAATTCATTTAGTAAGAACGAAGCGCGCGGGTCTGCTAGAGTCCCTATATTTTTTTGTATCTGTGCATTAATAAGGCTTTTTTTAAGTATTGTTCATAATTTATGGAGAAACGGCTAAGCTAAAATTGGTTGACCAACCCTCCGAAAATCACACTTTACCGTTTGGAACGTTGGTGGCCCACCAACCAATTTTTTTGGCATTTTGGCATCTTACATGTAGACAAATTTTAATTACATACCAAGTAAAAAAGCATTGCTTGGCAATGCAAGCAATGCAAGCAAGCAAGCAACCATACAGTAAGTACATATATAGATGTCCCAGTTCATACAACGAAAGTGGCGCAGCTGAGCTTTCTGCGTACGTTCCCAGGTCTTCGGCTCTGGGGACGATCGCGTTCGGCTCTGGGATTGACCGCGTTCGGCCTACAATTCTACAATTTTTGTCCACTTGAACCGAAATTGGTTTTTCGTTTTGTTTTGAGGGCTAATGTAGCGACTTGAGCTGACCTGCCGCAACATAAATGAGGAATGGGCAGAGTGGGTGGGGCTGGGAAATAAATACAATAAATAAAAATAATTTGATTTATTTGAAATTTCACATTTACATATGCATATCCCTAATTTAGACAGGTTTCTTTTATAAATTAAATATTGTGCAAATGTCGTCGGCTACCGACTTTGCAACATTGTCAATAAATTTGAATATATATGTGTGATCTATGAATATATCCCTACAAACATATGTATATGGGTTACATTACATGTGTGGGTTACATATAGAATTGGCTTTTCTATTTACATATTCTATATTCAGTATACCTTAATTATGTACATATGTATGCATGGCAATATTTATATACATTAGGCTGGGCCAAAAATTTTTTTTTCGAAATTCAAACGGGACATCTGTTTTGTTACCTTGCATTTAAAAGTAATTTACATGTTTTTATTTTTTTTATTTTTTAGATGTTGCTACCGAAAATCAAATGTTAACACGACAAAATGTGTCCCAAAATGACTTTTTCTTATAGATTTTGGGGCTTAAAATTGTTCAACGAATTTATGTTTTTTTTATGGTTTAGTTTTTTTTAAAGAATTTTTTTCGAATTTCCCCGAGTTTTTAAAGTCAAAATTTCGGGGAAAAATACCGCAAAAAATGATGAAATTTTAATTTGATATCTTAATATCTTCCAGGCCTTAAGCTGCAGATACAAAGTGTCTGGGTGGAATTTATAGCTGCATTTGCTTTTCAGAACTGCAAACTTCTATGCAACCAGATATAAGATACTTAAGTTATGTAAAAAATAGAAGCACTACCTCTGAAAAAAGCTTAAAAAAAAAATTAAACCATAAAAAAAAATAAAGTACTCCAAAAATTTTCAAATC